TGTTTCAAATTAAAAGCCCCTTATAACCTGGGCTGAGAGAATCCCTCCATTTTCTAAATAGGCTTCTATTGTGAAACATTGGTAGGAACTTGTTGTGGAGAAATCAGTGACTTTTATGTTTACATACGGTACTTCAAATGGAGCGCCTGCCGTCTCCTGGAGCTTTTTCGGTGACTACAACAACATTTCGGCTGGCACATGAACAGACACAGTGACTCAAATAATAGTAAAAGTAATAAAAATAGGACAAGAATAACCGGATTACATCACACACGTCGTGAAAGATGACCGGAGATAATTGGTGTGTACCATCGTGTAGTGTGTCATGTCTGTTGGCCAAGTCACAGCACGATTTTAGGACTCCACAATCGTGTAATGTGACATAGTGACTTTCAGAACTAGCAGAAAAGTTGTTTAGTGTGTACCAGGCATAAATCCTCCTTTACCGTTTCTCACTCTTGCATGTCGCTCATTTTCAGTGTGTGACTGCAGGGTGTGCATGAGAGGGGGAGGGGCTGCTGCTTGCTCAGAGAGGCGAGCGACAGAGAGAGAGGCGAGCGGAACGGAGCAACGAGCGGAGCTTCAGAGCTGCTTTTCTGAAGCAAAACAAAAGTTCCTCTGGGCACTCAGGGTCTCCCTCTGATCTTCCAGCACCGTGTCCGTGAGGACCCCCTCTTTGTGGATTTTTTTTTTTTACCTTGGAGTGGACATTTGTTTCTTTTGGTCTTCTGAGGAACTGAGAGAGACTTTAGGGATTGGGGAAGGCCATTGGGTTTGTGTTTTATTAAGGAGAATTGTTTGTGGGGTTATTTGTTTCTGTATCGGCATGACGTGCTGTGTTAATTGAGTGAATCGTCAGAGCCGGACGCATGTTAATTTGAGTTTGATTTAATTTAATTACACTAAAGTTGTTGAGTTAAAATAACCATACGAGTCCTTTTTGTTTTTATACAATTTATTGCTGCATTTTGAAAGCAAAAAGAGTTAGGTTTTTTTGGGGGTTTCATGTTATATCAGGGGTGTCAGCTTGGCACCGTGAACCTGTGCCTCCCGTGACCTGTAAAAGTAGCGTTGTGACATAAGCCTCAGTAGGGTCCGACGTTAAGGTTATTTCCTACTTGCCCTGCCTAAGAGGTTCTTTTCTGGCTGTGTGGTGCATATTTTTCGCTCATGACTTATATCTTATGTCAGCAGAGACGCTCAGCCAATGGAGGCAGCAGCACATAAAAAAGCAGCACACTGCAACTGGCCCCTCCGAGGACAGAAACAGGAGAGGAAATACACGATTGCAGGCCTGGAATTAAGTCATTTTTAGGGCAAGGCCACTTTGGCCTTTGATAAATACAAATTTATTGGGGCATCACGGCCAAAATGTGGGGCACCAAGGCCAAAACCAATGGCGCAATAACAATATGTGCTAATTACGTTGAATGAAGACAAAACAATATATGTGTTGAAAAACAGTACTGAGTTTATTAAAACTGGGTGTGCATGACTGGAGATATATCTCATTTCTTGTTGTTTTGATTCATGTCCCTTATTTTTTAAGTCCTTGAAATCTCTTTATTCTTTTGTTATCTCCTAGTTATTAAGAAATTATTAGAAGAAGAAGATTGTTTATTGTCCTTTCTCAGCACATTACATACATTTGACCTCTGCATTTGACCCATCCTACTGTATACACTAGGAGCAGTGGGCAGCCGCAGTGCAGCGTCCGGGGACCAACTCCAGTTCTTTTGCCAATGCCAGTGGTCAGGGTCACTGACAGGTGTATTCACCTAACATAGCCTACTTATCTTTAATTATATAATTATTTATATGTCTCTATGTATATTTTTACATAAATCCCCAATATTTTATTTGACTTTAAAAAAATCCTCTTCCTTCATTTAATTTTGTTTATTGTATTGTATTGTATTATATGTATTAATTCTCTGTAGGATCCTGTATGTTCTTTAATGTGTGTTCAATTTATTAAAAGAAAAAAACAAAAAAAAACATTTTGGTGAACCCTGCAGCAAAGTGAACCCTCTTCCTCAGAGAGGATCTTTGCCTCCCAGTTTGTTCCTGGCAGCAGAGCAGAGTGAACCGTCTTTCTTCTCAGAGGATCTTTGTCCCATGAGAGCAGTCACTCAGCTGCTCTCCATGTCCGCAGTGTAAACAACTTTTTTTTTGACGGTCACTAGAAGCACATTATGACCCTTTGTAAAAGTTTCTTTGTGGTACCTGTGTTGTACATGAGCTAATGTTAGCGGCTAAGGACTGAGAGGCTGTCCGGTATGTGTGTGTGTGTGTGTGTGGGTGTGTGTGTGTGTGTGTGTGTGTGTGTGTGTGTGTGTCTGTCTGTCTGTCTGTCTGTCTGTCTGTCTGAGGAGTGTCAGTATGTTAACTTGTTAGCCGTAGCCGGGTGCTGCTTGCCCGACCGGGCATGTCTGCGCACGGTCTGCTGGCCCGCTGGCTATTTTTACTAGCAACCGTTAATGTTGGACCCTGCTCAGTTTCTGTTGTTGGCGAATTGTTACAAGCTGATGAATTCGCTGGTCAAGGCTAGGCAAAACGTTAGTACAGGTGAGATGACAGACAGATGGTTTGTCTCTAACAAAATACTTTCTGTAGACATGCTGCAAGAACGGATTAATGCTTAATATACATCTGCAGCCAGAGCGCATTACGCTGTCAATAGGCTTTATCTGTGGGGAATACCAGGATGTGTTTTCCAAATAAGGGCATGTACGTCACATATATGTCCTCACAGTCCGTGCCGGCGCAGTGAGGGAGAAATGCACAGACTGCTTCATGTTGGAAGTGCTGTGGTTGGACTAACAGGCGGTCGGACTATTGGGTATGAAATCCGATGGTCGGAATAATGGCATTAAAATGGTCGCATTAATGGGCGGTCGACATTATGGGACTAAAACGATAAAACTCGTCGTAGACCTGCATGGTCGGATTAGCGGGTAGTCGGAGTTATGGGTAGTTGGACCTATGGGAGGTCGGACTAACGCCTGGTCCACCTGTGTGTTTAATAAAGCATGTAACGCGTTTACCGGGAGCTGCAGTCACTGCTGACATACCAGTGCAGGATGTTGGCTCTGTATGAATGTATTGCCATCAATAGGCTCATTCGAGATGAACTGCGCCTCGCCTGGAAAGTGGAGTTGTCCGTTATCCAAATTTTGTTACCGTTAAACCTTCCCCACATTTTCCCGGGGTATACGGTATTACTGTGACTAATCAAGAATCACTTTGAAGGGCTCAGAGGGAGTCACCAAAATGTCTGCTTACGCCTATACCGTTCAGAAACAGAATAGAAAACAGTACATAGGCCTAAGAATACTGAAAAATAACAAGAAAACATGTACAACATTAACAACTTTGATTAATAAATATTTTAAGAAAAAAGTGCAAATACAGTAGTCAACCAAACAGAATGAAATAACAACAAATTGTCTGTGGGCTACAGTCCACTTCCAGTACAGTAATCAATGAACAAATCAGTTAAATTAAAACACAGCCCTATAGCATCCAATACTTAGAGACTTATCAAATAATAAAAATGTACAATAAATAACAAAGGCAGTAACGATAATGTGTGCTATACAGCGTATCCTGAGACCGCAACGGGTACTGTCCATTGGTTTACTTTTAGAATCTATCAACATAAATCAAATTAAAAGCACAGCTCTACAGCATCCAGTACTAGGGCTCGTCAAATAAGAAAAACAGAACAATAAATAACAGGGCATAACCAAAAATGGGCATATATAATCCTATCCAGAGAACGCAACGGGAAATACTGTTCATTGGTTTATTTTTAGAGCCTACCTTTAGTTTGAAAAGTTCACCCTCTCAAAGTCCAAATTTTCCTGTCTGTCAGAACAGGCTACTCCTCATTGAAAATGAAATAAAAACAAATTATGATGATAACTATAGCAGCATCCTATGCTTCAAAACTATTCAAGGTTTTTAGCCAGAAAAACCAGCATGTTTACTTTTTCCGGTTGGAGCACGGCACGTAGTGGATTGACAACTCTGGCCGCGGTGCTGGTTGGTTCGGGTTGCGCTTCTCCCTCCTCCCCCCACCTGCTGCTGCTGCTTGCAGAAGTTGTGTTTGTTGTTTTTTTTGGGACCAACTCACTTGATGCGTGGCTTGCCATCTTTTCTTCTCTTTCTCACGTCCAAGCTGTCACGTGACGATGTCACATCCAAAAACTTTATCAAATGTCACCTCCTGACAACAGTTAAGGGCAGTTATAAGAGAAACATTATAGCCTACTATTAGTTTTAAATTGTAATAGTATTAAATTGAAAACTCAACCACATATACATAGGTGCTGCACAAACACTCATTATTTAGGCATCAAATAAATTATATTTAATATTATATCAGGCCCCTATAGGCCTATATGCGCTGGAGATTTTTTTTGTGATGGTAATGAAACTGATACCGTTGCTATTTTTAGATACCGCAGGATACCTTATCATCGTATTATCACCCAACCCTACTGGAAAGTAGACGAGAGCAGGCGGCTGTTCAGTCCGTACAGGAGGTCACAGAAAGTGTGTGTGTGTGTGTGTGTAAGCGGCAGCTCTGCAGCAGCATCATTTTGACATTTGTTGCTTATTTCTTTTATTTTGATATCTTAATTAAATAAACAATGTAAAGATCTAGTTAATGTTGTCTCATTTTTTTGTGGTGAAATGTTTTTACAGTTGTGCTAGCAAAAAAGAAAATGAATCTAAAATCATTGTAGACCTGTCCTCAAGGCACCCACTTTGGGAACTGCTACTTTTAAGGCATCAGCCTTGTTCTTAGTGACCAGCCATCCAGAGGCTTTTCCCTCTTAAAGTGAACTGAGAAGAATAGCAGCCCACACTTAAACAAGACGCTTTTTGACCTCAAATGCTTTACATCTCCAGTAAATGTGGTTTCTGTTAACTTGTTTTGTTTTGTCAAACCTCTTCATGTACATCTGTTTATGTCTTTCTTGTCTCTGTAGATCGCCCAGGGATGTTTGATTTCACTGGGAAAGCTAAGTGGGATGCCTGGCAGCAGCAGAAAGGTATACGTTCAGTCACCGCTGTCACTACTCAGGTCTCAGGCAAACCTTCTTTAACCTCTGTGTACAGAATGAGCTTATTGCACTTGTACTTGCTCATTTTAGTTATATTGTTTCATCTCCAGATCAATAGTGGGAATTGAAATATTTCAGGGTTATCTGAGCTAAAGCTCTGTTGATGGAGCCACAGCATTGGTTCTGAGTCTGATCCCATTCTTATATTTCCCTGAATTTTGATAGCCAGAGCCAGCTAGCCACATGTAGTCACAAAAAGTCCTGTAAACAGTGGCAGGTGTGCTTGTAGTGTAATACTCACATCGCAGTTGACAAAACTGTGGTGACTGAACACAGCTAATGTAGTGCCTATCATTTGTTTGTATTGGAAGGATAATAATCCTTTTTGGGGCTCATTGTAATAACACACTTTTCACAATGTTGACATTGCACATTTGCAAAAATCAACATTCAAATGAATGGACTTAATTATTATCATGTGTCGGCTATGGCCAAGCATATCTGGTCTTGGTCTTAAGGATACAGAGCACTGCTGCTTATATAATGAATGAACATGGACAGAATGAAAGCCTCTCTCTCAATAAGTGGTTTGAACATAGTCTGATCTTTTGAAGATATATCTGGTTTATGACAACTTCAGCTGGATTTACATTTACAGAAATATTTCACTGACACAAAGTGGGTCCTCACATGAAACAAATCTGTCTGTGCAGTAGAAAGATGCCAAAGATGTGTTAAAGACAATTACTGTGAAAAGGTAAGCTAAAACATGTTTCTGATAACATTTTACCGTTTGATCAGATCAGATCAGATAGGGGCGGCTGTGGCTCTGGTAGAGTGGTTTGTCCACCAATCACAAGATCAACCGTTCGATCCCCGGCTCCTCCAGTGTGCATGTCGAAGTATCCTTGAGCAAGATACTGAACCCCAAATTTCTCCCAATGGTGCTTCCATCCGTGTGAGTGTGTTAAAAACTGACTAGCAGGTGGCACCTTGTATGGTTGCCTTGGCCACCAGTGTATGAATGTGTGTGTGACTCGTAGTGTAGCGTTTTGAGTGGTCGGATGACTAGAAAGGCGCTATACAAATGCAGGTTTATTTACCATTTACCATTTTGTGTGAGATCAGATTTTTGTGTGAGTTTGAGTGAGAGAGGGGCAGGTCGGTCTCTTGATCTACGTCTATACTCTTTGTAGGGAGGAGGAATATGTAGGCACTGGTAAGATGGGGGAGGTTTACCACTGTTAATTTACACATGCTACCCACAGTGTTTTGATACAAAGCTGGTTGAAAACTGGCGAGGTATCCCTTTAACACAAACAGTTACAGCAGTCCGGCCTTAAGATACCTATTCTGTAGATCCCTCCTGTAACACTAGACATCACACGTCATTTATATTCCCTAATTTAACAGTGTATCCTTTGATTCACTATGATTCACTATGTTGGGAATGTCTACCTGACACTGGGTTTACACTGGACGTGGAAGCGCTGCAAAGCATACCTATTTTCAGTGGAGCGCTGCCCGCTTGCTTTCGGTGACCATGTTAACCGATTGGGCTGTTCACAGTGGATGCGGCATGGTGCCAAGTGCCCTGGCTGGCTCACGATTTACAGCAATTCTTTTGGCGTCTGGTCTATTTTTTTCCATGAGCTGCGAGTGAATCTGGCAAGAGAACACACTGATAATCTATTTTAAACGACATAAAGGATATATTAGATATGATACAAATTTCATTTCATTTCATTTCATTTATTTCCTTTTGACCCCTCCCCGGGGTATAAAGGGTCAGACAAAAATAACATTAACAAATCAGAGCAGGCGGCAGCCAATGCACAACAAAATAAATAAAACAGAATTTGTGTACATACATACAAGTCAAAGCAAATCAAGAGAAACTATTCAGGATTTTCTTTAAAAGTTTCAACAAATTTGACAAGACCTTTACTTTTCAAGATGACATTAACTTTTGAAACTTATAAATATTTGGATTTGCTCTATAGAACTGTCCGACCAACTCTCTTCTCTCTTTGTCAAAAAAAGAACACACAAGTACATAATGATATTCGTCTCCTGGATTGCCAGTCAAACAAAGAGTACATTTCCGGGGGACATTTTCACGGTCATACCTGCGCTCAGAGATAGGTAACTTATGATTTCCACACCGAAACTTAGACAAACAAATCCTTTCGGCAGGTCTTAACATAATCAGATAAGGTTCAAAAGTGAAATCCGTTTTAAACAGTACAGTAAATGATCTGACTATGATGAATGATAGAGTATGCATCCAGTGCTTCCATGTACATGTCAGTTGTGTGGAAACAGAGCGAGAGAGACATGTGCGCGCGCGCACGCACACACACACACACACACACACACACACACACACACACACACACACACACACACACACCAGCTATTTTAGGTCTTGAGACAAAAATGCTTATTAGTTTAGTCACATTTTAGTCATTTATACTTCATAGTTTTAGTCCAGTTTTAGTCGGTGTTTCAGAAATTAGAATCAAGGTGACAGGTTGTATAAAAGTTTCATTTAGACATTTTTTTCTACTGTCAAACTGTCATTTCACCAGGAGCTTTTTACAGGTTTTAAGTGGTGATTTACAGACACACATACTAATCATCATTTGATTCAGATTTCAGCTTTATTAGTACCCCTTGGGAAATTATTTTCACAGCACCGTCCAGAATTAAAAACAACAACATAACACAACACTAGGGCTGCTCAATTATGGAAAAAATCATAATCATGATTATTTTGGTCAATATTGAAATCACGATTATTTACACGATTATGTCTTTGAATTTGGAACAGCATTTATTGAACATGTTAAAAAACACTCTCCTGTTAAATATATAAAAATATCTTGTAATGTAGTAGCAGGGTCCGACGTTAAGGTTTTTTCCTACTTGCCCTGTCGGGCAAGTACTTCTCAAATCTACTTGCCCCATCTAAATTCTTACTTGCCCTGCTTAAGAGGTTCTTTTTCTGGCTGTGTGGTGCATATTTTTCGCTCATAACTTAGATCTTACGTCAGCAGAGATGATCAGCCAATGGAGGCAGCAGCACATAAAAAAGCAGCACACTGCAACTGGCCCCTCCGAGGACAGAAACAGGAGAGGAAATACACGATTACAGGCCTGGAATTAAGTCAATGGCGCAATAACAATATGTGCTAATTACATTGAATGAAGACAAAACAATGTATGTGTTGAAAAACAGCACTGAGTTTATTAAAACTGGGTGTGCATGACTGGGGATATATCTCGTTTCTTGTTGTTTTGATTCATGTCCCTTATTTTTTAAGTCTTTGAAATCTCTTTATTCTTTTGTTATCTCCTAGTTATTAAGAAATTATTATTAGAAGAAGATTCTTTATTGTCCTTTCTCAGCACATAACATACATTGAAACGAAATTTGACCTCTGTATTTGACCCATCCTACTGTATACACTGGGAGCAGTGGGCAGCTGCAGTGCAGCATCCGGGGACCAACTCCAGTTCTTTTGCCAATGCCAGTGGTCAGGGTCACTGACAGGTGTATTCACCTAACATAGCCTACATATCTTTAATTATTTAATTATTCATATGTCTGTATGTATATTTTTACATAAATTCCCAATATTTTATTTGCCTTTAAAAAATCCTCTTCCTTCATTTAATTAGACAATGTTTATTGTATTGTATTATATGTATTAATTCTCTACAGAATCTTGTATGTTCTTTAATGTGTGATCAATTTATTAAAAGAAAAAACAAAAAAACGTTTTGGTGAATCCTGCAGCAAAGTGAGCCCTCTTCCCTAGAGATGATCTTTGCCTCCCAGTTTGTTCCTGGCGGCAGAGCAGAGTGAACCATTTTCCTTCTCAGAGGATCTTTGTCCCATCTCCGTGTACACAGTGTAAACATCTTTTGCTGGCGATTTGACAGTCACTAGAAGCACATTATGACCCTTTGTAAAAGTTTCTGTGTGGTAACTGTGCTAACATGAGCTAACGTTAGCGGCTAAGGACTGAGAGGCTGTCCGGTAACGTTATGTGTGTGTGCATGTGTCTCGGAGTGTCAGTAATGTTATGTTAACTTAGCCGTAGCCTTGCTATGCTGTATGTCATAAAAACAGGGCATGCTACACTGGCCGTATGGGTAGGAGGGGCATTACGGCCACACACCGGGGACTCCATGGCACTGGCCGTTTGGCCGTGGTATAATTCCTGCCCTGTGATTAGAAATAATAAAAATAAAAAAATCCGAGTCGGTGCTGCTTGCCCGATCAGGCATGTCTGCGCAGGGACTGCTGGCCCGCCGGATATTTTTACTTGCCTCGGGCATTCGGGCAACCGTTAATGTCGGACCCTAAACTGTTGTAGGCTACTGCACTCAATCTTTTGAAAACAAGAAATAAATAAAATACAATAAGAGACAGATACTTCAATAAATGAAGTGGTTCGACCTTTTTTATCAACCAAGCGACGCTGCTCAGCCTCACCCTCTGTCATCTTTACACGTGCTTAAATCGCCGGCCTGGATCTCCACTCTCCACACACGCGGGGGCGGGGGCGTAGCAGTTGAGTTGCGCATGCGCGTCTCAGAACGGAAACATCAAATAATCGTTTTTCCTCGATTATATAAATTTTTTGATCGTCTGGAGCCAAAATCGTAATCACGATTAAAATTCGATTAATTGAGCAGCCCTACACAACACAGTACCATACAGCATAGTAGACCATACAATACCATAAAACACAGTGCAGTGTCATACAAGCCTGCAGAATAGAACCACTGCTGCACCTGGTAGGCTGAGTAACACAGCCACTATTGATTCAGCAAACCAATGGCCGCTGGGACAAAAGAGGACCTAAATCATTTAGTTGTGCCCACTGGCACTCTAAAACAATGTCCTGAGGGCAACTATTCAAACTCCCTATGTAGGGGATGGTGGAAACAGTCAGTAATGGCATTGGCTTTCCTCA